ACCCTGTTCTACAGAGAAAACAAAAAATATCTTCTTGGGATCTTCTCTTATGTTCTATTTCTGGGATCATGCATAATTCACATAATTGAAGGCAAATGTTCCCCTAACTTTTGGGTGCTGAATTTCAGTTGCCCTGTTTAGATAATAAATACAGCTGGAAACACAAATTTTAAAGATTTCCAGCAGAGCCCCTGTAATAAAAGTGTCGATTCCTCTTGGATTTGTGGGACCCATGGAGAGAGGTGGCACCAGAACCAGAAGCTGAGGACATGGATCTCTTCCAATGAAGATCTCTTCCAATTACTGGAAACCCTCTGAAATGCAGGAGATACGAGGTATATCCATGAATCTCACAAACAGTGGGAAGGATTTATTATACTGGAAGTGAAAAATCACCAGCACCTTGGCACTTCCTGTTTGCCAAGTCAAACTTTGGTCAAGACCTTGACATTTAGGGGCAGGTGAACCTTTCTCTTCGTGTCCTGAGCAGCTGAGCAATATCTCAAAGAAATGCTCCTGTCTGACCTCTGCAGGTGTGGTTTTGTCCTGGTTGGTTTGTTGATCCCACAGGGGTGATGAATAAATCTCCACAGTGGCAGTATTTTGGTGCTGGTGTTCAGAAAGTGCATCCGTGGATTTTCTGGGTTAGCTTTCTTAATGGAAAGTTAGAAGCAGCTGCCAACCTTGTATCCCTGGGAAAAGGAGTTGGAATGTCTTTGTGGATTTGCATTCTCCTCTCTTCAACAGATCCTAATGGATTATACACACAGTTTGGGCCCAGGCATATCAATTCTTCATCCAGTGACAAATCTAGAGCTTGTAATTTTCTTTTTTCCAATCAAAATCTGAAGAACAGTCTAAAGGGGAACTTTTTCCTGAGAAAAATTTTCCTGGTTTTTATTTTATTTTATTTTATTTTATTTTATTTTATTTTATTTTATTTTATTTTATTTTATTTTATTTTATTTTATTTTATTTTATTTTATTTTTTATTTTATTTTATTTTCTGGAGGAGATCCCTACGACCTTGGCTCCCATTCTGGTAAATCCAGAGGAAATTTCCCTAAACTTCTGTGCCATTCTGTAACCCCTCAAGAAAACTGAATTTTTCATAGTTCCAGTCCTTTGTTATTCTAAGTGCAACAGCTCTGCTCTGGTTTCAGTAACTGATGAAAATAGACAATTTGCAGCTTCTTGAGAGAACAATAGAAGGAATGAAAAGACTAATGACAACAGCCAAGATTTGTGGCCCAGAGAAAGCAGGGCAACATCATTTTCCCATATTCGAAGTTGGAAAACATGAATCCAATTTCCTTCTTTTCATCATCAGTAAATAATTTGGATGTTTCCCGTCCCTTAATTGTGCCTTTGTTTCTGTGATGAGGGGAAATCATTACCGTGAAAATCTGTTGGCTAAGTTTTCCCCACATCTGTGGAGTTTTTCACCAAGTGAGGCATTTGCCCATTTGCAGCCTAATGAACAAGAGGAATTTCAGACTCTTGAGATGGAGCCTACACTGGGAGGTTGGGAATCATCATATTTCAGAAAACAGCTTGGGCTGGGCTAGGAGAAAGATTTTATAGTTTCTGCCAAAATATGGGCAAATGATGACAGATTCAGTCTTCCTTTGTGAATTTTGGGGAAAAATATCGTGTTTTCAGGACCATGAGACCTTTTCTTCCAGTTCTCACTACAGATGATGGCACAATTCCCTGTTGGAATAAAAGCCCTGAGGATTTAACTTGGCTGTCACTTTCTTAAGGCTGAGACCCCCACTTAGAAAATCTTTTATCAGCCAGCACTGGAAAATATTTTCCCAACATCATCTGCACTGGTGGTATCCAAAACAGACCTCTCCAGGTTTAATTTAGTTCACCAAGGTTTCCGCACATTATAGCCTCTCATTTCTCTACTCAGTGACAAAGGATCTGGCTCAAGGTGAAGTTTTGGGAAGCTGAACCCTGCAGCCTGTTGTTTTTTATTCTCAGAGCTGGTGGAGAGACTTAGGAGAACACAGTATGCCACAAAAGAGCAAGACTCAGTAAATTTGCTGTTAAACTGGTCTTTAAGGAGTTGGAGCTGTTCACATCCCAGACTTCAGGAGAGGGAGTGTGGGATGAATCTGGGGCACTGGCCAGGCGGAGGACAGTGTGAGGGGTTACAGCCTGGGTGAGGGGTGAAACAGGTCCCTGTGGTGAGGAAATGCAGATGTACAGTGGACACAGGAAAGCCCTGGCAGCTCTGTGATCCTTTCCTGGACAGTGGGGATTACACACTCAATCACAGCCTCTTTTACAATTTAGGAACCAAACAACTCCTGGTATGTTTTGGTTACCAGCCAAATTAGAGCTTTACTGAGAAGGTCCCTTTCAGTCTTATTCTCTTATCTGTCCGGCACTTCCATATTGCAATCCATGTTGTGGGTTGCAAACAAATCACCAAGATGGGCATCAATGTGCTAAATTGGAGGGATCAGGTCAGTCTCTGGACCAGAGAGATACTGGGATAGAGAAAAACAAGATCCTCTCTGGGATTGCTTCAAGCAGACAGAATTTGGTCACCCTTTTAAACTGTTTCCAAACCTGAATCAAAACCCATCATGGTTAAAAACCAAGGGAATAAACAAACCCTGTGTGCATTGTATTGTTCAATGTTCTCTTTAGGGTGGCAGGTGGCTTTGAAGTCATAATAACAGGAATTAAGAGTTCAAATGGCAAATATTCAAAAGCACAGTCTCCATATGCCTGTATTTGTGTTCTAGCCCTGGGATAAAAAGGAGTATTTTTTGCAAGAAGATCCTATGCCAGCCCCCTGCACACAGCTTTGCAGCTTGGGTTACACACACAGATGTTATATTCTGATATTCTCTACAGGATATTGCAAATGTTTCCTGCTAGGTTTTTAATATACTAGGATATCTTGTATATGATTTCCCCCTCCTCTTTATAGACCTTGGGTATGTGTTTTCTCATCTCGGAGACTTGGATTGACATTTCAGCCAGGAGGGAAAAGTCATGGGAAGTCATTCCTTCCATGAGGGAGAAAACTAATTTCCTTGCTGTTTTAAATTTGTGAGAGTCTTTTCGAGAAACCTCACAACTGATGTGCAGTTTTTCAGGCAGCAACAATTCCTTTCAGGCATGTCTAGTCTCAGATTTGAACCTGGATGCCTTTACTGCATCACTGCCATAGAACTGAGAGAGCTGCTTTGCTTGTGTGGCTCTGCTGTCCTCCAGCAGACTGATCACCAGAACTAAATATGCCACTCACTCTGATCATTTGCACTCTTAAATATATCCACCCTGATAAATCTCTCAGTGTGTATCTTTGAATTTAGAGATGGCAACATTATGATCCTGGTTATAACAGAAAAAGAGAGGAAGAATTCAAGTTTGAGTTTGACATCTAAGAGGAAATTATATTTCACTATTAAAAAATCCCCTTGCAATTTGAATGTGTCTTCCTGCATTTAGAAAAAAGAAGTCAAAACCATTTGAAATAGCCTGACACAGAAATCTGAACTTGGGGGTACTGGGTTTTGTGGATCTGAGCAGCAACAGGAACACTTCAAGTGCACAGACTTTTTATTCCTGTTATTTTCAGGACACCTGTTAATTCCATCACAACTGGCATTATACAGAGTGTGAACACTGCCAAACAGCATCATAACTGCTCAGGGTGTCTGGGAATGGTTCTATCCCTGAAAATGCCTCCCAAATGGAGGTCCTCAGATCACATTTTTTTTCCCTTTGGAAAACTATGAGAGAGTTTAGAATCTTGGTTTTTCTGGTTTAGTAGGAATGGTGGAGTTGGGTCAAAGATTGGACCTGATGACCTTTAAGGTCTTTTCCAGCCTTAATGATTCAGTGATTCTTGTTTAGGGCTGGGCAGTGGAGCAATCAGACCAAGCAAAGAGAAGCAATTTCTCAGGAACTCGGTAACTTTATGCTTCTCTTTCCCCCAAAATACAGTGAAATACAAAAAAACCCAAAAAAACTCAGGGCATTTTGAAGGGGAATGAACAGACTGATAGTGGATAAATCTATAGTGGATAAATCTGTGACTGCTGCTAGATACTGAAATCTCCATGTAACTTGTGCATGCAGGAATCACCTGCCAGAAGGTAAGAATTGTCCTGTTATTTGACTATTTACTGTGTGTTTATCAAAACAGCCATTCCTGCCTTTTGTGGAAAGTATTCTGCCCAGCTGGACCATTGGTCTGTGAAGTAATTATATTTTTTGATGTGATTTATTTTGCCCAATGTGAAGGTCTCACAGAGACAGGGATCTTCAGCAGCCACTGATGAGAAGTGTTGGACATCCACAACCACTGAGACATTAAATTGTTCTGCTCTGTGGGGGTGAGGAGGCCAAACTCTCATTTCCATGGCCTCAAATTGCTTGAAAAATATTCTGATATATAAAAGAGGGGGAAAGAAATGAGGCTGAGGAAAACAAAACTCGAGTTCTTCTGAGAGCTAAATCATAATCATTACCATTAATTATCAATACTTAAGAGTCTTAGTAATGAATCATCTTTTCAGGAGTGTTAGTGAGATGAAGGACTGGTTGGTAACAGATCTTAAATCCGAGCATTCCACCTGTTCTGCAGTTGTTCCTTCCAGATTAGGTTGGGCTGCAGCTCCTGGCAGTGCACTTTTCCTGCTGATAAACAGCAGCATTCTCCCTTCAGGGCTGTCAGTCCCAGGTCTTTTAAGCAGCATTGCATTCATTTAAATTTAAAAGAAAAAAAAATTAAAAAAAAAAACAACAACTAGAAACTAAATAATGTAAGATAACAGAGAGGGATCAGTGTTTGGAGATGAGATGATTAAGTCAGGAAAGAAGCAGCTTTGTGAATGTGTAGCCACCACTGGAAAAATGCACACACAAACAGACAAACACACAAATAAATCTGAATTGCTTAAGGAATATGAGTGTGAATAAATTATATTTTATAGTGCACCAAACTGCCAAACATGCTATAACCCTGTGAAAGCCACTTATGCTTTAATGGCTGAAAGGAATAAAGCTGACGGAAGAATAAATTCCCGGCGCACTGACTCCCAAATACATCTCCTATGGAAATAGTGCTGCTTTCCTCTTTGACTTCAAAAAAGCCACAGAATAGGGTGACTTTAAAGGTAGCCACGCTTGGTTTGGTAAGGATGCATATCTTGGCTTGAAGGAGGCTGGGGAGATGTTTTCCAGTGAGAGTTTAGGAGCTGAGGATAAGAAGTGAGAATGCAAATCTTGGTACCTGGTGTGGAAAAGTTTGGTTGGCAGGTTCCTGGGATAAAAACTGAAAATTTAGGAGCTGAAATTTGAATTTATTCACACCAAAATAGCAGAGGGGACCATGCTGCTTATTGTGTTTGCTCAATGGAAATCCTGCCATAGATTTTGGGTCCTGGAAAGTTCACTGTGTGAACCCCTAAATGCCATAAGACATGAAGTTAAAATTCCAGTGCTCATAACAAGCTAAAAACTATATATTTAAATATTTAAAAAGACAAAACTCAACATAAAACCAAGATATCCAAGGAAGCAAGAGAGACTGAGCATGTTGCTTTTTTTTTTTTACCTTCATTTTCAATAGCTGGAGATTTGTAAGGTGGAAAATGGCCAGACAGTCCTAGGATGTGGCTCCTGTCCTAAGGAAGAAGGTCACCCCTTCTTTCCATCTGTTCCTCCAAATTCAGTGCTCTTTGGTGTATGATATGGACTTGAGGTCATAACAATATGGGGAGAGGAACAAAGGACATCTTTGGTTAGAAAAGAATATTCTTCAAATCATTAAACACAGACATCCCCATTAACCTAAGCTCTCCTGACAGATAGGGGAGTGATAATGAATATAATCCCTTGAGCTAAGGATGAGAGTCCTGTCTTCCTAAGGTCTAACACAGGTGACAGGACAAATGAATGGAACCCTTAAAACCCCTATTTCTGTCCATTTACTATAGAAGAAGTCAAGGGTGACAAGCTCAGCAATAGATTGAAAATCCAGGCATCTAAACTTAGGTGAGATGAATCATACAGTAAATGCCCTAACAGTGAGGACACTCATTATTCTTACATGGAATAATTGACCATGGAAAGGGGGAGAAACATCCCCATTGCTTCTCACCTTTACTGGCAATAAAGCTGCAGACATCTACTGTACCATCTATTAGGTTTCCTTGATCTCTGATTTTTATTGCATTATCAAAGCAGGTGAGACACTGTGTCGGCATTATATGAGCCTTACACACATTCTTCTTTTTTCCATCATTCTTGTATCAGCTGAACCAATGCTGACATGACCTGAATAAAAGGCAAAATACAGTGTCAGTTCACACTGAGGTAAAGTAGCTGTAAAAATGTTTATATATGTTTATACTCGCAATGCTTCTTTGATCATCATGATGAGCCCTTGAACGTTTCTGTCACTGGGAAGATCTGATTTGGGATTACTTTCATTCCTTTCTATGTAAGGGCAGAATTCCTAAGCAATCCTACATGAAGTAAGACTGTTTAAAATCTTGGCTTCACACATTCCCAGGCAGAGGTGTCGGTGCTGCAGACAGAGAGGAGCAGCAAGAAATGAGGAGGTGAGTTGTCTTCACCAGAAATGCACATCTCAGTCTCTTTCCTGATAAAAGATGCAGAACCAGCACATCAGCACCTGCATGGCTCCAGGGCTCTCCTCCTGCAGTGCCACTCATCCTCCAGACTCACTGAGATTAAGAGCACTGCCAAAAACCCCTCAAACTAAAGGCTTCAAACAGCCTTCAAGGGACTGAGTACACTTCTTTAATCAGCCCTTTTCTCCTTTGTCTTTCTAGCTGCAGGTACTACCCCTTTATTCACCTGTGGACTCCTGCCAGATTCAGGATGCTCACATCCCAAGCTGATGTATTTCTAAGGAATGGCTTCATGGATACCATGATGTGTGGAATAAAGTTTGATTTTAAGCACAAGACAGAAGACCAGTGTAAAGCTGGGAGTCAGGTCTTCCCATGCATCCTCCCCACCAACCCTCAAACACACACCATCCCTTCCTTTTCAGTCTCTGATGGGAAATGTGGCTTGTCCTGAGATAAGACAACCAGGTGGGAATTGCAGGAGGAACTGTCTGCATGCATCATGACTGAATTACAGAGATGAGGGAGCTGAGCTGTTGGTGCACATCAGCCTGAAAAGGGGATAAGATGCTGCTGGGGGCTGGGCCAGCTGGGCAGACTGGTCTCCCAAGGCTGTAGGCAGCTTCTGGGTGGGTTCTTCCCCTGGCAGAGATGCCCAGGATAGATCTGTCCTGAAGATGGGGTGATAATTTTGGATGGGTAAACAAAAACCACTAAAATCCAGTCAAATATGGAGGTAAGATCATAAAGTATCACCACAGGTGCCATGTTGCTTTGTTATTGTGAATTCTGCTTGTCCAAGGACTGTAAAACCTGTACATTTCTACCTGAACATGCCTGTATTATAACCCTGATCACCTTATCAGTGTGAGGGAGAACTGGTGAGGACAGCTTGAAATTTCAAGGGACCAGGACCCAACAAAAGTAGAAATCTGACTTTTGTACAAAGCAAATGTTTTTACTTTTTTGGGGATAAGGACAGTTAAGGTAGTAAGAGCAAAAAACAAGTGAAAGGAATAAGGAAAACCATTCCCATTCAGTCACAAGGTTCAGAGTGGACCCTCTTGCCAAACTTAGCCCAGGACTTGGGTTTAGACTAAAGGTTTAGTCCTAAAGGTTTTAACAGCATGTAAAATCAACAGCACTTATTTGATAGCTTAAATCAAACTCATCATCAAGATTCTATAGAATATACTATAGAATTTACTATAAGCACAACAGTAACTCACTTATAAAGGCCTGACTTACAAATCTAAAGTGATCAAGAATCTTTGAGAACATTCACTGTACATATATATATATATATATAGTGTATTCACACTGCACACACACAGACCTAAAGGAGTACGTACAAGGTATAAACCTGTGAATAACACCTCTCAGAGTCAGGGAAGGACTCACATTTGATGCTTCTACATCTTCTCAGTGGGTGAAGAGTTGAGCTTTGAGATCAGCCCAGGATCCATCATTGTTCACTGATCCTCCAAGTACAGAAAACTTGAGAATTCACTGGCTTTGAGAGGTGTCCACTCAGATGGAAATGCTGGTCACAGCCTTCTGTGGTCCAGGACAACTCTAAAAGTCTCACTCTGAACCTCTATTTATAGGGCTGCAAGAGAGGGCTTTAGCCACAGCAATTTTCCATCCTGGCCAAAATTCAGGTTGGCAGCTCTTCAAAGTTCCATAAGAAAAATGTTGTTGCACTTGAGTTGTTATTCAGGCAAGAGAAATAAGTTTCCAAGGCTGTTCATTAAAAAGCAGAGCTCATTAGACAGCACAAGTTCCTAGAAGCAGTCTGTGTTTCTGATAAGCTCAAGAGAGGCTCAGCCCAGGTGCTGTTCATCAGTGCCAAAGCCTAATGAGGATTTCAGATCACTTTGGTCTGAGGAGGGTGGGATGCACCACCACAGCTACATATTGGCCTTTTAAAATTATTTCTTATTTTATTTTGAATTAACTAAACTCACATACAAAAAAACAGGGTGGGAAAATAAAACCTTATAAGAGGATTTGGCAGAGAAATAAGACTGAAGAAATGAGATATTCTGGAATCAATTGAGATTGAAAGCAGGTTTGAAGTAAAGCAAAAACCAGAATATACAGTAACAGCAATCACTCAAGACAGACCTGAGAAATGGTACCAGAGTGTCTTAAGGCAGAAGATCTCTTTATAAAAGCTAGCACTGAAACTTTAGAAAGATTTTTTCTTCTTCTTTCCTGATCTCTCAACAGAAGAATCTTGTAATGAGAAGCGAACCTCAAAGAGCTCTTGGCTGAGTTATGTCACTGTGGGTGCCCACGGTAATTAGGGCTTTACAAACTTTCTGAAGTAAGACCCAGCTCTCCTTTCATTTTCCTTTTCGCCTACACAGTACCTTTGCTATCCAGGCTCCTAAACTTTTTTCCTTTTTTTTTTTTTTTTTGCAGAAAGCATTGCCAAATTCAGTGACATAAAATAAGCGGCTGAGTGAAGACTGAAGGAGTCAGAGAAATTTAAGGTTTCATTGAGGCAAGTTTCCACAGTTATTGAGATACATTATGGTATTTTTGTGTTAGTGAGGCTTCTTCCCTCTCAGTTTTTCCCACTCAATTTTCCTCTCCATTTACTAAAAGGCTGTATTTTCAGACTTCTTTAAGAAGCTAACTGTTAGAATGTCAACATCTCTTGATTCAGTGTAAGCTAGAGATCCATGGAACAGTTTCTTGGTGGAGAGTTCTGCCTGCTGAAAATAATATTTCATAATACAGTCCTAAAAAACCAGTTCATTCTGTAACTTTACTTCTGTAAGAAAATCTAGATTTTTCAGAGAGAATTCTTCAGTGTATTGGAAGAGTAGTGAACTTTTACACTTGCTGAAATATTGCAAGACATAGTGTTATTCAGAAAGTCATTTTGGTATGAAGACACATCTTATTTTCCTCCAGCATGGAAATGTGTCTTGCTCTGAGATAACAGGTTAATTCCACTCCTGAGCCCATGTTTGTCTGGAGAGCAGCGAGCGAGGAAGGCAGTGGAGTCGTGGAGAACAGGCTCGAGCATTTCCTTGTGTGCTTGCATTGACAGAGCCAGAGGGGCTGGATAAAGGGATGATGCTGTCTCTGAGGATACCCAGAGAATGACAGAGGGGTGAGAGAGCTCATGCATCACTGTCCTCTGACTGGCAAACAAAGCCCTGCTCCAGAATTAGTCAGGAATACTTGTTTTTAATGTGGGTGACAGAAAGAATTATGATTTGCTTTTATTCAATCTCATGAATAGCAGTGGTGAAGGTGACAGCCAGGACCAGGGCAGCTCCCTGTGTGACGTGTCCCCCTGCCTCCCTACTGTGCTCTGTCATCCAGCAGCTAAAGGAGTGTGGAGAGGAGGGAAATCCTGCCTTGCTGAGTCTTTTACCTTCTCAGAGTCACGGGCTGCACACCACTCTTCCCTCCGAGGTGTTTGGTGGGTAGCAGAGCTCAGCTTTTGTCAAGGCTGTTTCAGACTGTGACAAATTTGTTCCCTGAATCCACACACTTTTTAATCTAAATGTCAGGTAGGAAATTAAAGCCCTGCTGAAATGGAGTGTATTACCAGCATTTTATTAGATCACAAACAATTTAATAACCAGATAGAGGGAGAAGGTCATTTTGTTGTCAGTCCGGCTTATCTCATAAATTAGGCATCAGGTTTTGCACAAAAGCATCTCTCAGCAAATAAAATTATCTGGTTTGATGAAGGACCTCTGTCCATGGAAAACACATAACACAGATTAAAGAGGGAGCCCTGAAACAAAATTATGATCCCGAAATGTATGAAAGGGGATGGGTTTTTCAAAAATACTTTTCACACATTTGCCCTATTAACGACAAGTAAATGCCAAAGTAGCAAAGGACATGCCTTTCTGATGAATGCATGTGAAATTCTTTCAAGGTCAGTAAACAAAAGGGTTGGCAGATGAAATATGGATGATAAATAAGGTAGCTCTTAGTGACCTCAGTGGCTGAAAAGGGAAGAAACCCAGAACATTATCTCTTCACTAGAAATATTTATAGCCTAGAAATTACACTTTCCTGAGCAGGGCAATGAGTGATGCAAAGCAACATGGCATCGATTCCAACACATCACACCACAAATCTCTCTCTGGGATGAGGGAAAGAAGTGACAAGGAAATGGCTTGGTTGGAACAAAATTTATTTCTGAGAATATTATGAATGTCTGGTCTTGCTCATATTTGTCTTCCTGCAGCTCTCTAAGGCACAGCGATTTCTACACCCCTGCCTGTCTCCAGCTGTGTTTTGTTATTTATCCCTTATTAGAGCGAAATTAGACTTGTGCATTAAGTGTCCCATTGCAGTGAGGCCAAGTTGTGGTGCTTTATGTCCTGAGACATGCTGACTCCTGAGACAAAAGTGCAATGGCAGCAGCAGAAGCTTCATAAAAACGTTCATAGAGTCATTAAAGTTGGAAAAGATCAGATCATCAAGTCCAACCATCAACACAGCACCACCACCACATTCATCACTAAACCTTGTCCTCAGGTGCCACATGTGCCTTAAAGCTTTCAGGGATGGTGGCTCCACCCATTCCTTAGGCAGCCTGTCCCAGTTCTTGACAACAATTTCCATGAAGGCATTTTTTCAGATATCCAATCTAAACCACCTGTGGCCCAACATGATACCTTGTCCTTTTGTCCTGTTACTTGTTACCTGGGACAAGAGACTGACACCCATCAACTTCCTGCTTAAATTCTGCTGCCACCATCCAGCTGGAGAAACCACCACAGTGAGAGTTAAATGGAGCCTTTCCCTTGTGACTCATTTTTTTGTTTCTCATTTCTCTCATTTCTCCTTTTCTCTGCTCAATGTGACATTCCCTCTCCTCAAAACGTAGCCATACAAATATTCTACCCCTTTGCCATGTGGGCCTGGGGTTGCCATGAGGTACTGGCCTTCAAAAAATGAAGAACTGGAACAAAGTTCTGCAGAAGAAAGAGTTTTTAAGAATTCTGTCACCCCAGTGAGTGGGTGGCAGGATTTCAGCAAACTGAAGCCAGCAAACCACTGTTTGTGCTGGAAGGCTCATGGTGACTGTGTCTAAGAGCCAAGAGTCTGGTTCATGTCTGCATGGTCCAGATCTGGCTCTTGGTCGTGTTCTCTCAAACTCCCTGACAGGAGTTGTAGCCAGGTGGGGGTTCAGCCTCTTCTCCCAGGTAACAAGCAGCAAAACATAAGGAAATGGCCTCAGTTGTGCCAGGAGAGGTTCAGGTTGGATATTAAGAAAAATTTCTTTACTGAAAGACTGGATAAGCATTGGAAGGAGCCTCCCAAGGAAATGGTGGAATCACTGTCCAAGGAAGTGGTGGGGTCACCGTCCATGGAAGTATTCAAAGAAATTAGTAGATGTGACACTTCCTGGCACTATTTGGTTAAACATTGAACTTGATGGTCTTGAAGATCTTTTCAACCTGAATTGTTCTGTGTGTGCCAAAGCTCACTGCTCCCTTGGTAATGTCAACCCATCCTTCTCCTTACTCTGCTTCACACAAAATTATTCTGATTAATACCTACTCTGATGTGGTTTGATCTGCCCAGACTAAAGCTCTTACCATACCTGGACACCTAGCCTCATGCAATAAAGTGGTTCAGCCTCACTTGCTACTCCTCTGTTAATGAAACTCCTCCATTCCTCTTTTTAATTCTGTGTGCTCCTGGCTGGCCAGCCTGGCCTAAAAATCACTTAAAACAGATTAAAGAGACACACACAGTCAGAGAAATGTTTATAGAAAAAGCTGGAGAAGACTTTCCAGTGCATGGATACCATCACTGTGAAACCAAGGTATTTCAAACACTTTGACTCTTTGCCTGTGCAGACTAATATGAGACATAAATTCATTCCTAGAATCAGAGAATTGTTTGGGTTGGAATGGAGCTTAAAATCTTCTTATTCCAATACTCCAGCTATGGATAAGGATGAGAGATAAACTTGTTGTTTTAACTTTCTTGTTTTGAGAAATAAAGCAGAAGAAATTTTTTTTTTTTTTTAGAGAGGAAATAAAGGTATTTTTTATTCTGTTATGATAGGAGAATACAGACTACCTTGTGAATAAATGGGAGTGCTTAACTCACACCTTCTTTGGGCAGTGGATTTCCAGTTTGCCTCCTGGCTGAGAAAACAGCAGCTGGACCTACAACCACCACTGGGTTTTTAAGGCTATTGACCCAATGCCATCCTAATTTCGTGCTGCTAGTAAAATACAACCTTGTTCATCGTAATAGTTGGGACATGGTGTATGGATTGATGGGGTGCACAATACCAGATTGTTTATTCACAGAATATGGGGTCTCTTAACAGGGGTACCATTAGTCAAGGACAGGATTTTTATTGCCAAAAGAAGAGGGATGTGCATTCCCAGGACATGGAATGGCTTGCCACCTAAAATGGAAGGAAAGCCATGTCTCGAGAGAGATTTATGGACCATTCAAGGTTAAAACCAAGGAGGGCACACAGCATGGTTTTACAGCTGAACATCTAATCCAATGCTTGGATTTATTTACTGTCTTTGTATAGATTATTTTAGCGCTGGTGTCAGCAAGGCTGTGGACTTCACAAGACTTTATAAACCCATTGCTGATGAAGTGAGTGGTTTTAAAAAAGACTTCTAAGAGGAAAGTAAAGATTAGGACAGGACACTTGTGTAGTCTGGGTCCATTGGTAGGTAGAATACTTATAAAAGTGATTTAAGACCATCAAATGCTGAATCCTACATGCTGGCAGCAC